TAAGTAGGGACCCGATCCTATAGTTTCGGAGGCGAGGAAGTTTGGATTTTATTCTGAACATAGTGGATTTTAATTCCAATCTGGTGAATGATATTTTAGAACGATCACTCTGACTGATAAGTAGGGACCCGATCCTATAGTTTCGGAGGCGAGGAAGTTTGGATTTTATTCTGAACATGGTGGATTTTAATTCCAATCTGGTGAATGATATTTTAGAAAGATCACTCTGACTAAGGTGTGGAAGTTGGGTGGGGGTGGGGGGACAAAAGTAGTAATAGGGATACCAGTTAGTCCAAGTAAGAGATGATGGTGGCCTCTACTATTAAAGATTGAAGTAGACTGGGTATATTCTGAAGCCAGAGACAGTTGGACTTGATGATGATTGATTGTGGAGGAAAGACGAATTGAGAATAGTTTGAACAACTGGGTGAATGGTTTGGACATTTATTAAGATGGGGAAAACTGAGAAAGGAGAATGTTTAGTGGAGGAATATCATGACTTCTGTTTTAGCCACTTGAAGTGTGAGATGCCTACTAGACATTCAGTTGAAAATCTTGACAAGCCAGTTGAATGTGTGAGTCTAGAGCACATAAGCAAGATCTAGACTCAAATATAAAATTGGCCCCTAATGACATTTAAAACTGTAGAACTGAATGAGTTGTCCTAGAGAATGTTGTTTGTAAGCATAAGATACTCAGGGTATCCTACATTAGACTGAGAGTTGAGCCTGTGGAGCATGGCTGTTTCGTTCCCCATGTACTCCCAGCACCTAGCATTGTACTAGGCACACATTGTGTGATGAGTAAGTATTTGTTAAATGAATGGATGAGTGAATTAATGAACAAATGTACCAAGGCATTAAGGTGTAATAGGAGGGGTGAAGGTTCTCGGTAGTTTTGGGCCATGATAGCAACATTAGTGCCTAATATTTGCCAGATACTCTTTTCAGCTCTTCTAGGCTGCAGAGATGAGTAAGATAAGATCCTTGTCTTCAGGGAGTTCATAGTCTTGAATGAGTCTTTAAGAGAAGAAGATTCACCATAGTTCTGGCAATGTGATGAATGCCGGAATAGGGATGTGAAGGAACTGCTATGAGAATAGTTTAAAATGATTACATTTGTCTGAGAAAAGAATTTTCTCACTGAGAAAGTGCCATTTGAAATGGACTTTAAAATATAGATAGGAAGGTGGGAAAATCCATTTTCTTGGTAGAAGAGACATCTTGGGTTTAGGTGTTTTTTTGTGTTGTTTAAATTTAATTTCTGAATATCTAGCACACTGGCCAGAAAAGGTGCTTTTAAATTATTTCTTGACCATATGAGCTGGAGAGGTTAAGATTTAGTTTTCAGAAGATCTGTGATCTGAACTTTGTGACCTCACTTTTTTTATGTTACCATATTTTTATTTCTTTTTTGTCTTTCAGTAATGTTTATTTTGAACAGTCTGTGCTGTCATAGCTGTGCTAAGTGGAGAATGGAAAGTTTTTATTTTACATGAGACCAGAGAGTTTGGGGGAGGGCAGTATATACTTGGGGTAGTGGTGTATGAGATCACACATTAAACCCCAAAGAAAAGGAGAAACTTAGAAAAGAGACATGATAAATGCTTAAGAAATGTTTGCTAGATGTTTAATCAAGTACAGATGTATAGTAAGCAGTTTAGATCAGAAGATAGGACTTACATTTTTATTTATAAGTCCCTGAATTCATCAAAACAGATTGGACTCAGTTCTCTTAAAGGTGTGATGTAAGGAGAATATGGCTGAGTTTGTGTGATGCAGAATGAGGGGAGCAGAATGAGGAAATGAGGATAGCACAGAATAATTGGGGGATAAGGCAAGGATTTTCCATTGGGAAATGATTGGTAATTTGGGAAAGTGTCATTTAAGTAGATGGTTACTGTAATGTTTTTAGAGGCTTTTCCTCAGGACCAGGGTCCTAATTGCTTGGGAGGCTCTTTAATTGTGTTGACCATGTTAACTGCTGAGCTATACAAGCAAAGACAGCGTAGGTCCCATCTCTTAAGTGTTCCAATCAAGAGAGGAGGAAAGATGGATAAGCAATCAAATAATCATAATACTGAAAGATAAGATTACAATAGAGTTTCTTACAAAATGAACAGACAGAAGAGGCAATTATCACCATCAAGTAGGGTTGATGGGAGCCTCGCAGAAGAGGTAACATTTCAGATTTTACTTCATTTGTTCATCCATCTGTTTGTCCCTGCATCCATGCATTTATCCATACATCCACGCACCATTGTTTGAGTGCCTCTAATATGCCTGGCACTGTGCATTGTCATCTTTTTATAAATATATTGAGTCTTTGTGCTTGCCAGGGTTTTCTGTTTTTTATACATATATACATATATATTCAATTGTATTCTACAGAGTTTTCTATTTTTTAAGAGATTGTAGTTTAGCTTAAAAAACAAACAAACAAACATATCAATAAGACCATGTTGTTTCTTGACTATTATACAATCCACCTAAGTATCAGGAGAGATTGCATATATGTATTTATATTTCACAGTTTCCAAGTGAAACCTAATTTGCTGAAATATAACATGCCAACTGAGCTGTTAGACTACGATTTTTTGTTTAGGTTTTGTTTATGTATTTCCAGGTATGTGCTATTCTTTTAAAGGTTTATTATTTTACAAGTAAACATTCACGAAGATTTTGAATCTAGTTTTTAATACTTGCTCAACTATTAACTATAATCCTGGGGAGATCACTTAATCTTTCCAGACCAGGGTTTCCTTATCACTATTTTGAAGATGTTTGACACCATAGATATTAACTGGACAGCACTGTTGCCCTAGGGGTAGTTGGAAAGGTACATTTTGGGGTTTTTTTTTTTTCCTTTTTGTCTTTTTTTTGTGAACGGTAATGGGATCGCAACCCTCAACCAGTGAGTGGACCAGTCTCTATATGGGATCTACCATAGATATTAACTGGACAGCACTGTTGCCCTAGGGGTAGTTGGAAAGGTACATTTTGGGTTTTTTTTTTTTTTTTCCTTTTTGTCTTTTTTTTGTGAACGGTAATGGGATCGCAACCCTCAACCAGTGAGTGGACCAGTCTCTATATGGGATCCGAACCCTCGGTGGGAGCGCCACCGCGCTCCCAAGCGCTGCACTCTACTGAGTGCGCCACCGGGCTGGCCCCCATTTTGGGTTTTTTTAAGTCACAATGGCAAGTTGCAGTGCAAAGCACTACTGGCATTTAATGGATTGGGGCCAAGGATGCTAACTGGCCTGAACGCCTGTATGGTCCCTTCATAATTACTCATCCCTTAATGCCTATAGTACCTTGTTAAGAGTAATCTGTCCCCCAATGCCGGTAGTGCCTTGTTAAGAAACAGCTTATCACTAAATGGTTTCAATCTTCCAGCTCTACAGTGGTATAAATCTGTGACTTACTATTTATACTGTTTACTTTTGCAGTTAGCGTGTAAATACTGGGCTCCCCACATCAAGAAAAAATCACCTTTTGATATAAAGGTAAGTATTTTTGGTTCGTAGCATACTTTTTTAAAAGTTATACTCTTTATATCTCTTTTTAAAGAGTTAATTCAACAAAAGCTTTCCATAATTTTTTTAAAGAAGTTCTTAAAAAGAGGTCTTTAAATGAAATAGATGTTGATATATTGCATACTATTAAACAAGTAATGAAGACTCACTTTAAATTCTGCCATTATATATTGAATTGTGATGCTTTGGGTACCCTTGGTAAAACTGAACTTTTAAACCCAAAATTTGCTACATTATTTGATCTTAAATCATTATATATATATTTTTGTTTTGCCAGTAATCCTCCTTTATTCATCAGGAGGATATTCATAAACATCGCATATTAATTACTCTTAATTATTAGCAGGGTAATAATTTAATGCTTTATGCTGTTTGTATATTTCTGTGGTTGTATGTGTTGGGGCTGGGAGTTTCTAGGGCAATTTTTCATTAAAAACAAAAGTATCCTGGTGGCACTACTAGATTGAGTTGAACCTAATTAGGTTAAGGTTTTTAGAGATTCAACTCATATCCAGATCATTTTAGTTTATGCTAGGTAATTCTAGATGAAGCTATATATTCCTAATCAGAAGAATTTACAAATTACCAATTACAGATTGGTAAGAATTTACCAATTACAGATTGATATTTAAAGAGGATTATGCCCTTTATTTTATTATTTGATTTGAATTTTGATAAAAAGGAAAGCAACAACAAGGCTTGCCTCATCACCTTCCTCTCTCTACCACTCACAAACATTTATTTGACAAATATACTTTGACACGTTAAAAGACATTATTGTTACCATACAGTAATATTATGCCATATTAAAGCACTTCATAATTTTACAGTAGGATTTTTTTATACTACTATTAACACTAGTACTACTATTTCTTCTACTGCTACTGGTAACTATTGTTGGAGACCCACTGGTTGCCAGGATTTGTACTAATTCTTTATATCCCATGTCTTATTTACAGCAACCCAGTAGTTTATATTATTAGATCTGTTTCGTGGATAAGGAAGCAGCCTTAGAGAGGTCAGGCAATTGCCCATTGGTTAGCAGTGAAGGTGGATATTTTGAGCAAGGCTTCCAACTTAAATTCTCAAGTTGAATTCTTAAGTATTACACCATTCTGCCCACCCTAACTTGGATGGAAATTCTGAGGCTTTATCATATTCATTTGGATAACAATTAGCATTTGTTTCTATAATGTCTTCACACTTCTAACATACTTTCTGTCTAGCTCTTGCAAACACATTTTTATGACTCTTAAATGGTGTCTGTTTACATTAGTACACTTTAAAATTAAGTTTTTAAAAATATTCTAATCCTGTGAATTTTTATTTTCCCTAGAAAATGTTATAAACACATTATTTTAATCTTTCTAGGGCTCTGATTTTACATATCTTTTTCTACTACTTTGCTTTCTGATACTTCACATTTTGAGTAATTTAATGGGGTTATTTTTAAAAATCTCTTTAATGTTATTTCAATAGCAGTAATATTTGATAGCTTTCCTAAACCAGTTTATTTTGTGTAATCTCAGTAATTGAAAATATCAATTTAGGGTCTGAAAAGAAGTTGTTTGCAATATGAAACATTTTTATATTTTTGATAACAGGTTATCGAAGATATATATGAGAAAGAGATTGTCAAATCAAGGTAGGAATTTTTATACATTGGTATTAGGGATGGATGAAGTTGGATCCCCTCTGAACTTCTAACTGTGATCATAACTTGGAACTTCTTTTTCTTTTTTGAATTTGCCATCAGAGAGATGGTGGCTAGAGCTTTATACCTAGGTGCTAAAGAGTCATAAATTATTTCTTTGCCTTCTAATTTTTGGTTCAGGTTAGAGAGATTAAATCCCATAGAGTTTATTTGGTTTTTGAAGAAATGTGTGAGAGTAAACATAAAGCTTTTATTTCAATTCAGCTAGTACTAATTTTCTTATCAATAATGGTAAATCTTTTAAAAAATATTCTTTAAAAGTTATAAAAGTAAAACATACATAATGAATTCATAATAATAAAATATGTATTTTATATATTATACATACATAATATACATTATGATATATACATTTTATATGTTACATATGTATAATGTATAAAAGATATAAGAAAATAATAAAATATTAAAGATATTTGCAAACAATATACAGAAGGGAGTTTCAGTAAATCTTCTTCCCTGACCCTTAACCCCCAGTTTATCTATGTATATATCTGTTCCATTTTCTCCCCACCCCTCCATGTTTTTTCAAACACAAAGGGTTTATAGTCTACATGCCATTCTCCATCATACCTTTTAAAAAATTTAACAATGTATCTTGGGCATCTTTGAACGTATCTTTCAATGTATATATCTTTAACAATGTATCTTGGGTAGATATGCATCTGTAGACATGTATGCCCAGTGAGTATTTTAAAAGGATGATTGACTAAATGTGTTAATATGAAATAGAAACACTTATGCTATGAATATTACAGATTTTATAAAATGTCGTATTTGGTATTTTTCATGTGTTTGAGTCTTAGGGGATAAATTTTGCTAAATATTAATAAGGCCAATCTGTGGCAGTGTCCAAATAGGAAACTAGTTATTTTATTGTGTTTTGTTTTAATGACTGATTTATGAGCCTGTAGAGGTAGGCAGGGTCAAAGACCATGTTAAGGATTTTATTCTTTATTTAAAAAGCAATAGGAAACCAGTGAAGAGTTGTAAGTATAATAGTGATAATTGAAGAAAAGAATTTGGATTTGGAGGGAGCCAGACAGGAAATTAGTTAGGCGAGTATATAGTAGTCAGATTCAAGATAATGATGGCTTGGACTTGCATGCAAGGTTGGGAAGGAGAGGAATTGCCAATTTAAGAAAGATAGAAGTGATGAGACTTGACGGTTGGATAATGGTGGGTGAGGGAAAGGGAGGAATCAAGGATGATGCCAAAGTTTTTTGCTTAGGTTACTAGGTGATTAGTGGTGCTATTACTGGCTTTTGCTATTGTTGTTGGAGGTGGGATTGATTGTAGATTATTAGTTCACTATTGGACATCTTGAATTCTAGATACTTAAGAGCCATGCAGGTGGAGATACAAAATATAAGCAGTTGGGTATCTAAGTGTAGAGCTCAGAAGAGACTTGGGTTGAGCCTAGTTTGTATCAAGCACCATTTTGATACTGAAGGTACAACATTGAACAAAGTAGATTAGATCTCTACTGTCATGGAGCTTACATTCTAGTGGAGGAGGCAGAAGAAGCATATAGATGTGATGTTATGTCAGGAGAAGTAAGTGCTATGAATTAAAATAAAAATGAGGTTAGGGATAGTGACAAGGGCTGCTATTTTAGATAGAATGATAAGGCAAATGCACTCTGAAGATAGGACATTTGAGCAGATATGTAACACATGACTTGTTGGTCTGCAGGTGGGTATGTATGAAATTGCCTGAGGAAATTTAACTAAAGATGAGTGGGTAGAGAAATTCTAGGATTCTTTTTTCTTATATATTAATAATTTCTAGGACCCTTTTTTCTTCTATATTAAGAATGTACCAATCTGAAAATTATCTTGAATCTACAGAAGAGGCTTTTTACTCCAGTGGATAGTAATTGTTTATTTTATTTTTTCATTTAAACCCTTACTACAAATGTTTCTTCCTCAAAGATAATTTTTATAACAAAATAACTAAAAGCTGCTGGTGATTTTTAAGCCATATTGACCTGGCTATATTATTTTTATTGCTTAAAGAAGTAACTGTCATTGAGAGGACTAAGATTTACCATGACACTTTTAACAGCCATTTTCTCATCTTGTACACATTTTTGAATACTTAAGTGCACTTCTATAACATATAAACTGTAGTATGTATTTAAAAATTTAAATAACCAATTCTTTTAGACTAGTACCTGAGGAAATTATTTTGCTGAGGTTTGTGCTCGTGGCATCTTCAGTACTGGGGGAATGGCTTGATGTAATATTTATTAACTTGTTTGTAGGCTATCAAAATAGGCAGTTTATAGCAATAAGGTATTCTTAATATTTTACATTAAGGTACTTGTTTATACACTTTTGCACATCAACATATTTTCCCAGGAAGCATCCAGGAAATAAATTATCAGTTTTTAATATTCTTATGGTAAAAATAATCACTTCTAGTATCTCAAAATTAGATAATTCTTAAAAAGTTATATTATTACCTTATCACCCATATACTGTATGGCTTATTACACAAATGATTCATTTTCACTATTCTTGCCAGTATAAGATTTGGTAAGTTTATCTTAATATATTTTTATCCAAATTTGATTTTTTAAAATATTTTTTTAAAAAATTGTTTTCTTTTAAGTGCTTGCTATGTGCCAGATTCTGTTCTACACACCTTGCCATGTAGTAATTAATTCATACGCACAACAATCCTGTGATGCTATTGTTATCCTTACTTTATGAGTGAGGAAACAGAGTTGTAACTTGCCCAAGATGTTTCCCAGTAGTTAGAGGCACAGTCAGGTATTAAATCCTGGTTCCCTGGCTTTTATCTAATATTCTCTTCTTAAATAGGACAGAGTCCATTGCCCTCTGGAAATCTCATAGCCAGTGCATTTTTGATATCATGAAAACTGTTATGAATCCATTCAAGTGTTTTTTATACTAAAAAAAAAAAAAAAATGCGACTTATAGAGCGATTTACTTTTGCCAAAGTGTTTGCATTTATTTTTATTCAAAATCCATAAACCCTTTTATTGTAAAATATAACACAGAAAAGAGCATAAAACAAATGTATAACCTTACATATTATAATAATTCATAACCTACACCTAGGTTAAAAAAAAAAAAACTAGAACATGTTGCTCAAGATGTTGTATCCACTAAGCAGCCTGGCTGGCTGTAGAAGCCAGTATAAATGTATAACCTTACATATTATAATAATTCATAACCTACACCTAGGTTAAAAAAAAAAAAAACTAGAACATGTTGCTCAAGATGTTGTATCCACTAAGCAGCCTGGCTGGCTGTAGAAGCCAGTACCTTGACAGTGTTCTACTTTCTTTGTGCTTTTGCATAGTAAAAACCTTCATTTCATTCTCACTAAAGTCTTGTGACATTGCTTGCTTAGTGAAACTATTTAAGAGAAATGAAATCAGTGGAATAGGATTTTGACAGCATCATGGTTTCCTGGGGTATTATAAATTCATTACACATATGCATTTAATTTTCAAAGCTGGAAACTATTATCTAGTGGCAGTGTTCTTATCTGGCTATTTTATTTCTCATATTACAAAATGATGAAACTAAATTAGTGATGATTTGAACCTGCTTTTAGAAAGATACACTGACTATAGTATCATTTATTCTTATAAAACAAAGTACTTTTATTTTAAAAAGATAATATAATAAAGAGAAATATCTGATATTCCCTCCATAGTATTCTAATATTTTAGGCTCACTTTCAAGACTAAAAAGCATGTGAAACATCTGATTTCCACATTTGTAATATGGACACACGTTAACCCTTTTGAGCGGTAAATGAAAGCATGTTGGTTAGTGCTTGAGAAATTGAGACAGGCTAACTTTTGGCCATTGTGATCCAATATTATGAATTCTGATATATGAGTTATATTAAAACAAAAGATTACAAAATGTATTTGCATTAGTAATTCTGAAATGTTTATATTCTCTATTTTAACAATTTTATTATTTTATGTTTTTAGGTTTGCTATCAGAAAGATAATGTTGTTGGAATTTAGGTGAGTTAAAAGGCATTACTAAGATGAACTTAAAGATGACAATGTGATTTAAGTTTTAGCTTAATTTTCTGTATATTTCTGTGAGTGGTTAAGAAAATAATTTTAAATTTGTGAAGATTTATATTTTTGTGACTGGCTTATTTTGGAATATGTGTATGATATCCTTCATTTTTAAAGATGATGCCCCATTGTCATTATAACTTCTATTTTAAGTTGTTTCTCACTATTTAAGATACTCTGTGCTGAGCAATTTCTGAAATCTTGCTTGATTTCTTTAGTGATCAGTGGGAATAAATTGGAGTGTATTCTATAGCCATTTCCCCCCCCTGCCAAGCCCTAAGATGTTATTACCAAGGCAGCATTGTTCCCACTCAGCCACTGGTAGCATAAATGTTTCAGACAAAAAAGGAATGTACAATTTTTAGATTATAAAGGTATAGATTAGATTATATAACAACTAGGTGTGGCCAGTATGCTGAAAATAAAAGCTAGGATTGTTGTTAATGATAGTAATATTTATTATTTATTGAACACTTGCTATGTGCTGGACACAGTGTTAAAATATTTTGTATACAGAGCACTCACAGCAGTCCTGCAAAGTGAATATTAGCTTCACTTACTGGGAGAAGAAGCTAGGATCAGAAAAGATTAATAACTTATTCAAGACAATGCAGTTAAGTAATTAGCAGAGCTGGGATGCCAATGTCTGATGCCAAAGCTTCTGGGTTTGTTTTTGTTTTTGTTTTGTTTTTTCACTTCTCTCTACTTCCTTGAGATCTGGTCTGCATCAGAGGTCAGAGCCTCTGTGTTAATAACTCTTATTCTCTATGTATGTTCATTTGATCCTCAAAAGAAAAAGATGGCATGAAGTAGGTGGTCTTATCATTTTTATAGAGGAAAATTGAAGTTTATAGTTATGAGCTAACTAGTAAGTTGAGTGTCTACTATATCCTAAGAACTATATTATTATAACATGATCTCGTTTAATCCTTATAGTAACCCCTGTAAGATTTTCCTTACTTTATAGAGAAGAAAACTGAGACTAGAAACTAGATCCATCTGGCCCTTAAATAAATATGCCTTTTTACTATTACAGTTATACCACAAAAAGTTCCTATAGATAAAAACACTGTTAAAGGTGAGTTCACAATCCGAAATTACAAAGCACATGGAGGTAATAATCCTCTATAAACAAGAGTAAACAAGAAAGAACAGAATTAGACCCCCCCCCCAAACTTCAGATAATTAGGTAATAGGTAGACTCTGTCAAATCATTATGTTTAAAATTATCATGGGTATGGTATAAAAGAAGAGATAGAATATGTGAGCAAGAAACAAGACATAAAAAGTGGATGGACTTGGGGGAAAATGGGAATAAAAAAATTACTGAAATTTAACAACTCCATGGGTAAATTAAATAGGTTAGATACAGTTAAAGAGGGAATTAGTGAAGTAGAAGATAGATCTGAGGAAATAAACTAGAAAACAATAAAAGATGAAAAATATGAAGGAAAGGTAAGAGATATAGAGACTAGAATGGAGTTTGAAATTTCTAATGAGCTGATGTTTTCTTTTTGTGCTGTTTGCAACAGAGGCTTGGTCAGTAGAGGTCCCAAATCTGTGTTTTCTTTGCCCACCAGAGAACGGTCAGCTCATTGAAGAGTTTGTTCCCTTCCAGTCAAGATTTTTTAAATGAAGAAAAGGCATAGATACTTGTGTTTTGAGGAAATGGTCTTGAAAGTGAGAAGATGTTAGAGTCTTTAAGATAAAACCACGGACACTTCTCTCAAATATTCATTGGGTGCCTGCCACCTCAGGGCACATTAGAGCCCAAAGTAAATTATGGATTCTCTCATGTCTTAATGAGAGAACCTACCAATTTCTTGAAGTTGCTTCAAACTGTTATGGAAAAGAAGAGGGAAAATTCTTTAGGCCAGACAATAACCTGAATAGTTTATATGTTAAAAAGACCAATTTGGTGGTTAGGACTTGAAATAGAGAATTGATAATACAGACTAAGAGGATAAACACAAATGTAGAAGGTAGAATTGATTGGATTTGATAATTAATTGAAGTGGCATTAGGAAGGGGTGCTATTTTCAATAACCTTCCAGGCTTGGGCAACTGAATATAATAAATGATGGTGCCATTTACCAAGATAGGTAACAGGGGGTTGAATAATACTTTGGAGGGTACAAAACTGTTGAATTGAGTTTTAGACATACTGAGTTTAAATTGTCTTTGGCATATCTAGATGAAATTGTCTAGTAGAGGAATCTGAGTCTAGAGCTAAGGAGAGAAATCTTGTCTGAAGATGTATATTTGGATTTATCAGCATATGGTAGTTGAAATAATGGGCAGAGGAAGAAAAATGAGGCTAGATCCCTAGGAACATTGCTGTTTCAATAACAGGCAAAGGAAAAGGAGCCCTCAATACAGTGAAAGGAGCTGAGGATGGATAAGGGTCCATTGGACTTGACAAATATAACAGTTTCAGGGGAGTGGTGTGGGTGGAAGCTTGTTTTAGAGAAGTGAATGGAAACAACTAGTGTAGACCACACTTGTCTATGGCAGTAACTAGAAGGGAAGGTAGACCAAAGAAGCTTGAATACATTCACATTATTTACATGTTAAGAGTAAAGAGCCATTATAAAGCAGGAGAGGCTGTCGTTGAGATTAATTACAGTGTGAAAACTAATTTTTGCTAAAGGCGTAGTTTCTTTTGTTTAAATCAGAAGTAGTAAAACACTTCAGATCTTTAATAAGAAAACAAAGCTTAAGCTAAACACAGGCATAATCTACAGAAGAAAAGCTAAAGGAAGTAAAGCCATTGTTTTATGAGCTAAAGGTTTCTGCAACTCTCTCATAGTCCTGTCAGAAACCTATATTTGACTTGCTACCATTAATTATAAGTAAGCACATACTTCCTCTTCTACACATATTCAAATAATTGTTTTGGAATTATTTGGTTTTGTTAATAGACTTCTGAAAAGCCTCCCAAATACTTATGTAAGACAGAAAAATAGGTGAGCAATCCAGTTTGTAATGAATTTTTTTCTTCTTTTCAGACTTTTAAGAAGAAGCCAGACTACTTCCCATTCTTTTTTAAGCGCATCTTAAAAGCGGCATTAGCTGAAACTGATGGTGAATTTTCACTCCATGAACAGACAGTCCTATTGCTTTTTCTTGATCATTGTTTCAATAGTTTGGTAATTTTACTTTATATTTTGGGGGAATTTTCAAGTTTTCTTATTCTTTTAAGTCGAGTTTAGATGAGATTACTTCTGTAGCCAACTCTTCATCTATAGTAGTAGGAATAAGGGTAATGCTAAAAGCTTGACTTTAGCCATTTTCTAATAAAAACATTTTATTTATTCACTTTTTAATAGACTTGGATTTGATCTCTCGTTTTTTTCTATCTAGACTCTTAAGAAAAATAATAATGAGAATTGAAACTCCAAAGGGTGAGCACAGAAATGAGAAGCAGCAAAGAGTCTAATTAATATGAACTTTGAGTAATAGGATTTGTACCACGAGCTGCATACAAAAATGTAGCTTTATTACTTTTTAGTTATGCTTCATGCACAGGCTGGCTGGTCAGTAAGAGACATATATTTGAGTTGACTGATTAAGTCTGATGGTGGATCTTTGTCTTGTGTGTGGTACATTTTTATCCTTCACAATATTATCTTCTAAAAAAATAAAATTAATTAAAAGATTTAAATTTTAAAAATTAAAATTAAAATTTAGTAATTAACATTTCATGTGAGCCTCCATACTGTGGTTATCTGAAGGTATATACTATATTTATTTAAAGGTAAATGTTTCTGAATTAATAAAGCACTTAGACCAATACTGGAATGCATGGAGTTCTTTCTTATCCTGAAGACTGAATGTTCATAGATGGATGGTTGTTACCTGTTTCCATGTACTGCCTCACATGGATCTTGTAAAGTCATAAAAGAAAGATTTTTNGGAAGATAGATCTGAGGAAATAAACTAGAAAACAATAAAAGATGAAAAATATGAAGGAAAGGTAAGAGATATAGAGACTAGAATGGGGAAGTCTAATAGGAGCTTCAGGAGAGATTTAGAGAAAATGGGCAATTGACAGTTTGGAAGAGAAGACTGTCAAGAATTTTCTAGAGTTGATGAAACACATGAATCTTAGATTCCAGAAGTACAACAAATCCAGAACAGTACAACTGCAGAACAACAAAGACAGAATGAACATCTTAAAATCTCCTAGAGCAAAAAGATAGATTACTCAAAGAAGAAGGACAAATTGATTGTAGACTTCTCAAATGTTGTAATAGAGAAGATAATGGAATAAGACATTCCATTATCATACATAGAAAAAAATTATATCATACATAGAAAAAAATCACTGCCAACTTGGAGTTCTGTACCCAGCTAAACTGTCATGAAGTAAATGTCACAAAAAGATTAATACTAACACGCTATTGCTGACAGAAGCTTTAAAGGACATAATTCAGGAAAAAGGAACTTAAACTTGTAAAAGAAGAAATGATACGAAGCTTCACTCATTTTATTTTTGAAATAGCACTCTAGTCTCTCACTTGGATCCTTTTGAGCATTATTTTTGGTAAAATCTTACTTATTCAGTTTTTTAGTTTGTTGCAAATTAAGCAAGAAGGATGCTAAAGTCTGAATAGACGCTTGGAGCACAAGTGGAAGTAGAAAAACTACAGTAGTATAACAGAATCTAAAATGCTTAACTGCGTACATACATGTATGTGTGTTTGTGTTTGAAAAGTTATGTATGTGTAGTGATTTAAAGCAGGAGCATAGCCCACAAATATGTATAAGTAAATGTTAAAATATTTCGAATAAAATTTAAAAAAATAAAATAAAGCAAGAACAAAATGTCCTGCTCTTTTTTATTAGTGCTTAAAAGTATTTTATAGCTCGCTACAATAATTGATGTTTATAACTACCTTGAATGATAAGAAATGGCTAAGTTATGTTTTGGAAATCAGAAATACTTACATTTGTTTAGGAATATTTCTACCAAAGTCTTAAAATTAGAATTTTGGGACTTAGAGGGGAAAATGCCAGTTATGTTGAAAACTGACTTATGTTGAATACCTTGTAAATTAAGTATTACAAAGCCTCTTTTTGATTAGGTCTCTTTCTTAGTTCTGGAAGTCATTTCGTCTTGGTAAGAGTTAGTGTTAATGTCTCAGATACGTTTATCTGTGAAAGTGCCCATCATATCACTTTGTTTTAGGGCTGATATTTGTGAGGTGTTTTTGGTTTTTCTATTTCATGAAATGCTTTAGATAAAGGAATATTCTATTGGTCTGATGATTACAACCATGTATATCTGTTTCCTTTGATATCTTCTTACTTGAAAGTATAAGCCTGTCATTCTCCAAAGCCACATTTTCTATATATGGTATAAGTTTGTACCAGATATCAGTGACGTAGATTACAATAAGTTTGTGAATGATTCTCAAATTATAAATACAGATTTTCAAAACATTTTCAGCAAGTTGTAAATAATTATGCTTTTCCAGGTAAATGATACATTATAATGAATTGAATATTATAATGAAATATTCTATGCCTTTTTACTTTTTTCAGCCAGTATCTTGAAAATTATCTCTGGATGAATTATTCTCCAGAGGTGTCCAGCAAAGCCTATTTAATGTCAATCTGCTGTATGGTGAATGAGAAGTTCAGAGAAAATGTCCCTGCATGGGAGGTAACAGATTTTAATTACTTCATAGCTGTAAAGCTGTTCCCCCTTAAGCTATTAGAAAGTGGCAGAACTTTTTACTAATAATAAATAGTGCTTTTAGAGCAGAACTATACCTAATAGTAAAGTAAATATTGAGAAAAAGAATGAATATTTGAAACATAGCCATTTTCTTTTGGTTTCAACATTTTCTTCAAATTAATTTCCTATCAGCTGAAAAATTATGAGTGTGAAATTATTTTTCTGCTTAGTGCTTGAAACAAAGAATGACATGGATTATAAAGACTTACATCAGGATCTGGCAAAGTGAAAGATATATTAATAAGAGCAAATAGACGATATTCAAATGAGATATTTTTCAGTGTCTTATTTTACAAGGGGGAGTATATTTGTAGTTTTATATGAATAAAGTGGTGTTTACAAAGTCAGGACAGATGTTTACATTGTAATTTCAATTTTCTTTATACTTTTTTCCTAGACACCAAATGCAATGTAATTTCAGTTTTCTCTTTGTCCCTGATTTAGGATTTATTTTTTCTGTTTGAAATTTCTAATGAGCTGATGTTTTCTTTTTTGTGCTGTTTGCAACAGAGGCTTGGTCAGTAGAGGTCCCAAATCTGTGTTTTCTTTGCCCACCAGAGAACGGTCAGCTCATTGAAGAGTTTGTTCCCTTCCAGTCAAGATTTTTTAAATGAAGAAAAGGCATAGATACTTGTGTTTTGAGGAAATGGTCTTGAAAGTGAGAAGATGTTAGAGTCTTTAAGATAAAACCACGGACACTTCTCTCAAATATTCATTGGGTGCCTGCCACCTCAGGGCACATTAGAGCCCAAAGTAAATTATGGATTCTCTCATGTCTTAATGAGAGAACCTACCAATTTCTTGAAGTTGCTTCAAACTGTTATGGAAAAGAAGAGGGAAAATTCTTTAGGCCAGACAATAACCTGAATAGTTTATATGTTAAAAAGACCAATTTGGTGGTTAGGACTTGAAATAGAGAATTGATAATACAGACTAAGAGGATAAACACAAATGTAGAAGGTAGAATTGATTGGATTTGATAATTAATTGAAGTGGCATTAGGAAGGGGTGCTATTTTCAATAACCTTCCAGGCTTGGGCAACTGAATATAATAAATGATGGTGCCATTTACCAAGATAGGTAACAGGGGGTTGAATAATACTTTGGAGGGTACAAAACTGTTGAATTGAGTTTTAGACATACTGAGTTTAAATTGTCTTTGGCATATCTAGATGAAATTGTCTAGTAGAGGAATCTGAGTCTAGAGCTAAGGAGAGAAATCTTGTCTGAAGATGTATATTTGGATTTATCAGCATATGGTAGTTGAAATAATGGGCAGAGGAAGAAAAATGAGGCTAGATCCCTAGGAACATTGCTGTTTCAATAACAGGCAAAGGAAAAGGAGCCCTCAATACAGTGAAAGGAGCTGAGGATGGATAAGGGTCCATTGGACTTGACAAATATAACAGTTTCAGGGGAGTGGTGTGGGTGGAAGCTTGTTTTAGAGAAGTGAATGGAAACAACTAGTGTAGACCACACTTGTCTATGGCAGTAACTAGAAGGGAAGGTAGACCAAAGAAGCTTGAATACATTCACATTATTTACATGTTAAGAGTAAAGAGCCATTATAAAGCAGGAGAGGCTGTCGTTGAGATTAATTACAGTGTGAAAACTAATTTTTGCTAAAGGCGTAGTTTCTTTTGTTTAAATCAGAAGTAGTAAAACACTTCAGATCTTTAATAAGAAAACAAAGCTTAAGCTAAACACAGGCATAATCTACAGAAGAAAAGCTAAAGGAAGTAAAGCCATTGTTTTATGAGCTAAAGGTTTCTGCAACTCTCTCATAGTCCTGTCAGAAACCTATATTTGACTTGCTACCATTAATTATAAGTAAGCACATACTTCCTCTTCTACACATATTCAAATAATTGTTTTGGAATTATTTGGTTTTGTTAATAGACTTCTGAAAAGCCTCCCAAATACTTATGTAAGACAGAAAAATAGGTGAGCAATCCAGTTTGTAATGAATTTTTTTCTTCTTTTCAGACTTTTAAGAAGAAGCCAGACTACTTCCCATTCTTTTTTAAGCGCATCTTAAAAGCGGCATTAGCTGAAACTGATGGTGAATTTTCACTCCATGAACAGACAGTCCTATTGCTTTTTCTTGATCATTGTTTCAATAGTTTGGTAATTTTACTTTATATTTTGGGGGAATTTTCAAGTTTTCTTATTCTTTTAAGTCGAGTTTAGATGAGATTACTTCTGTAGCCAACTCTTCATCTATAGTAGTAGGAATAAGGGTAATGCTAAAAGCTTGACTTTAGCCATTTTCTAATAAAAACATTTTATTTATTCACTTTTTAATAGACTTGGATTTGATCTCTCGTTTTTTTCTATCTAGACTCTTAAGAAAAATAATAATGAGAATTGAAACTCCAAAGGGTGAGCACAGAAATGAGAAGCAGCAAAGAGTCTAATTAATATGAACTTTGAGTAATAGGATTTGTACCACGAGCTGCATACAAAAATGTAGCTTTATTACTTTTTAGTTATGCTTCATGCACAGGCTGGCTGGTCAGTAAGAGACATATATTTGAGTTGACTGATTAAGTCTGATGGTGGATCTTTGTCTTGTGTGTGGTACATTTTTATCCTTCACAATATTATCTTCTAAAAAAATAAAATTAATTAAAAGATTTAAATTTTAAAAATTAAAATTAAAATTTAGTAATTAACATTTCATGTGAGCCTCCATACTGTGGTTATCTGAAGGTATATACTATATTTATTTAAAGGTAAATGTTTCTGAATTAATAATGCACTTAGACCAATACTGGAATGCATGGAGTTCTTTCTTATCCTGAAGACTGAATGTTCATAGATGGATGGTCGTTACCTGTTTCCATGTACTGCCTCACATGGATCTTGTAAAGTCATAAAAGAAAGATTTTT